ATGATTCAATAGTGAGTAATTGTTATCATGACTAATTGCGACTGTCACAATTGTAAAGGTAGAAGTTTTGTAACAAAAACGGAGGAGTAGCTAATCTTACAGTCCAGAAACAGAGAACCCTAGGACCATCAAGGGAGAAGAACACAAGCAGAATGTGGGACCTTATCCAAAGGGCACATTCTGCAAGTCTGCTTCCTGGCTGCCAGCTCTCAGTCCTTCTCTTCCCATGAATCTAGAGTCCTCAGCTGCTCCCTCTTTCTGTGTCCCCATCTCTGCCTCCATCTCTGGTGTCGCTGCTTCTCTGGATAAGGTCCCACATTCTGATTGTGCTCTTCTCCCTTGATGGTCCTAGGGTCCTCTGTTTCTGGACTGTGTTGGTGTACTTTTGCAACCACGTTAAATTATCTTTAACAAAATTTTACTTGCTTGTGATATTAATGATATTGTTCAGTGATTTCCACATTCTGTTGTCACTTCTCTTTGGAATGGGCATGCATATGTATGTCTTCTAATTTAATCAGAAATTTGTTTCCCAAATTTCTTGACATAGATGAGTGAGAGCCTCCAGTTCTGCACTAGTTTGTTGGAAGATTTCAATTTGTCAGTTCCTGAAGTCTAGTCTATTATTTGGCTGAAATTTGAGCCATGGGAGTGAGCTCATTTACAGACCTGAAGGGTGACTAAGTGCCATAGTCTCAGGGGTTCTTTCAGTCCAGTTAGCTTGGCCTTTAAAACAATTATTTTAAGTTTACTTCCATATTTTTCTCCCACTCTATCCAGGACCTTTTAGTAAAATACCTTTCATAGCAGTTGATGGTGGTAGCCAGGGTCCCTCTAGTTCTTCTGGTCTGAGGATTATGGAGACTGATTTTTGTGTGGTTCATTAGTGTCTTGAACTAATTGTTTCCATGTGTCTTTGATTTTCTTTCACTTTTCTTACCTTCAGACCAGAAAAGACCAATAGTTGCACCTTAGATGGCTGCTCACAAGTTTTTAAGACTCCAGTTGCTATTGGCCAAAGTAGGATGTATAATATTATCCTTGTGGACTATGTTATGCCATTTGACTTTTGATGTCCCCCAACGTCTAGTGACTCATTCCCTTAAGATGTTTGGTGATATGTAAGAACTTGCCCCCTGTATGCTCCACCATATTCATGAGTATACTTCCACTCTCCCTCCTATGCCTGTTCAGCCAGCGTGTCTATCCATCATCTAATCAGATTACCATTATTGCAGGATTGTGTATATAGCAATACCTGAGTACCAGGCAATTTTGATTACTGTAGCTGTATAGCATAGATCTTTTAATCTTTAATGTTGAAAATCCTTTAAGGTCCTGTGAGGTGGGGGGAGGGAGGTGGCACTTGGTGTAGATATGAGTCCATGGGACATTTCCAGGAAATTGTGGGGGTAGGACTGTCATTTGCTTCATCTTATTTGTTGTAGATATTTAAATGACAAGCAAGAGTATATTATATTCCTTTTTTCTTTGTAATTCTAAAATAATAAGTAGGACTTTTTTTCTTTGTAATTCTAAAATAATAAAAGGGACTTTGGCGCAAACTTAGCAGAACCGAAATCAAACTTGAGTATTGTATTGAAAGCTCATTGTGTCCTTCAGCCATTGGCTCCTTTCGGAAATGAAAATGGTCAGCATTCATGCATGATCGTATCCAAAATCTTGTCCACTTTCCTTCCCCCTGGTTCTACCTGAGGTCTGGAAGCTGGTGCCATGGATAGCAGATGGGCTTCTCTGCACACTGCCAATCCCCTCTGCCACTTACTGCACTTTAGGACCTCTCCAGTGCCAGGCTTGGGACAGGGGATTAGGCCGAGGACTTGAGTGTCTAAGGCTGATGTTGGTGCTACTATAGCTTGGTGGGTGAGTGTGGAAGCCATGGTAACCACCACTTGACTCTAAAGGCCTGCTTGTGGGAGGTGGGGAATAAAGGATAAGACCTCCTGAGGATTTAACAATGGTGATGGATGACCCCTGTGAGTGGCAGACACTATGTGTGAGCCCAGCTGTCCATCAGCAGATACAGGAAGAATGTGGTTTGTGGTAGCTTCTCTCTGAAGCATTGTTTAATTGTGCTTTCACTCTTGCAGGTATGGAGGGATTTTTAAAATCCGATGAAAGACAAAGACTAGCCAAAGAAAGACGAGAAGAAAGAGAGAAATGTCTTGGTAAGCTGTGCATTTTGGATGTATAGGTCCAAAGGAGTGGAGATAGGGCGGTTTTTTCTGAAAATCGTCAGAAATTTGTGAATGCACAAGAATGATCACTAGATAGATATGAGGAATTGGGGTTAAGCCTATGCTAATTGGCATGTTACCCCATATGATTCTCAAAACAGCAAACATTGAACCTTTGCCGTGTTCTAAGCACTGGGCTGGGGAACATATAAAACCAGTCCCTGCCCACCACCTGGAGAAACCCCAATGCTCTCACTCATGTCACCTCCAGGGTGTCTGCACGGGCTACCCTTAGTTGTTGTTGTTAAGTGCCATCAAGTTGGTACCGACCCATAGCTACCTTATGCACAGCAGAGCGAAGTACTGCCCGATCCTAGACCAACCTCACTATTGTT